TTTTGAGTGAATTCTAAAATTTTGCCACCCCTAAATGTCAGAGTATGAATACGTAAGAGATGTGTGATCAATAACATTGGTTGCATTTATTAACTAATTTTAATTTTTTTACAGGTCTACAGGATCATTTTGTACGCTTGACTAAAGATCTTGACCAATGCAAGGAGAAAGGGCCAAAAAAGAAGCTTCATGATAGCTGCATAAAGACATTGTGTGAGATAAAGGAACTCGGAAACATGAAGCTAGATATAACTAAAAAAATATATCAAACCATAAAAAAACATGTCGATGAAATTGAAGATAAAATGAAGCAACTTGGTGAGTGTAATAAACTTAGTACAGAAATTTTGTGCCATTAAGTATTGGTAGGGATGTTTTAGTTCATTTTGAAATATGCCTAAACCACATTTCTGGGTTTTAATCATAGCATTGTTTGTATTTAACATACCAATGAATATTTTATATTCAATTTGGAACTAGATCAGCATTCAGTAGATTTACAGATCTGTACGGTACTTATTTTGTGAATTATTTTGAGTAAATAACTCTGGTTCAATTGATCAACATTTGACTGATTAACCAAGGGTTAAAGCACAGTGCAGATGCGAGGCTAGAATGCAGCAGAGTGTAGATGAAAGCGTAGGCTTGAAAAATATATCTAGGTACCCGTGCAAACTACTACACATATTGGAGTGGGAAACGTCATTGGTAACTGGGCTAACAAGATTGCCTCTCCGCTCAGATATTTTACCTAGATTCTTTACCTCCAGGGTTTAGTAGTGTGTTGAGCCTCAGTGGTCACATTGACAACATGAGTTGTTTGAAATGAAGTTTTAATTTGTTTGAAGGTTGTGAATGCTGCCCTATTTTGGATCAGAACTAATAAATTATTCTTTCCAAAAAGTTACAGTCTGCTTATAAGTAGCATACTAATATTTGTGATATATATTGCAAACAATTTTTTTTACAATCTGACACAATGATTATAAGTTAATATTCGTAGATTAGGAAGGTTTTTAAGTAAAGGGCCGGTTTTGCATATAAATCAGTAGTTCGCTTATAAGCTTTAACGAGGCTCCTCACCACTTACTGGCATCATTTGAACAGAATGTCACAAATTGCAGCCTTGTAGCTGTCATGTACGCTTCCCTGTGTGTAAAAAAAAATGTTAAAACTATCGAATCCCCCGCCACGTCCGAGGTAAGGTCAGTTATAAGTTTTTGACCATAAAAAACATATATCCGATGCTGACATTCATCACGTGAGTAAGAAGAAAGTGCAGAAATGGGTTATGAAGTGTAAAAGTTGCCGTGAAATCTGTTTTCCTCTTCTGTGAGAAGTCTGGGTACTAACCAAAAACACAGTTATAAACAAAATGAAAATTTCTAGCCCATTTTTAAACTTCAGCATATTTCCGCACTTTCTACGTTAATGATCAGGGATAAAGAACACACTAGCTACACTCTAAAAGAAAATGCTAGAACATGTTTTTAGCCTGAGTAATATGTTTAGTCATTTATACAGGGTTAATAAAAAGTCTGGAGACCCCCTGTCAATTTTTAACTGCCGATACTAGAAAAACTAAACTAAAGTGGCTTAACGGTCACTTTGTTTACATCCCTAAAATGGGGGATTTTGGTGGAAACTCAAAAATTTCAAATGGCAAGACCCATCGAGCGACCCCTCATTTTTAAGGTCCTGATAAAAGAAACCCAACAACACAAACTAGGTGAACCCAACAACACTACTTCAACCCAAATACTTAACCCAAATTTACGAGTTTCCGCCAAAATCCCCCACTTTGGGGATGTACACGAAGAGGTGGCTATGCCCAAAAAGTTGTTCATAACGTGCTTTAAAAGTGTACAGAGTTAATTTTTCTAGTATGGGCAGTTAAAAATTGACAGGGCGTCTCCAGACTTTTTATTATCCCAGTATAAATGACTAACCATAAAGGCTAAAAACATGTTCTAGCATTTTCTTGTAGAGTGTAGCTAGTGTGTTCTTTATCCCTGATCGTAGAACTCAATCACGTTTATTCCTCTTTTAAAATTCATTCTAAATTGTGGTACATCAAAATTTGACCAAAGCTAATTTAATGTTAAAGGCTATGTAATTTTTTTATGTCTAGTTATAATTATTTCCAAAATGTTTAAGCCTCCAAATAATAACAATATTGTCCTCTTCACTAGAACTAACTAGATTCATCCATTGTGGGTTATCTTGCTACAAAATTTAACTTTTCAATGCTGACTTCTCGCTACTTGTAAAACCTTTATGGTGGTTTAGAGATTCCTGAAATATCCCCCAACTTACGGGTCCTGTATCACAGGAGTTGCTCTTTATGACACACTACACTGAAGAAGTCCTGTTTATTTCCTTGTAATACAGGAGAATCACCTGTAAATTATTTTACAGGGAACCTCTTTATGAAACACAAACTTGTAACTTTTACTTTAAATAAAGGGATTTTACCTGTATTACAGGGCATGTAACTTTTATGAAACAGGCACCTGGAACGTCAGTTTCAGGGGATAAAATTCCAGGGGAATAAAAATCTGCTACCCCTTTATTCCAGCTTAAATCTTCATTTATTGTTAAAGTCAATAGGTTTGATGTTTTAGCTTGAGCAATGGAATTTTTATCTATACATAACTTTTATTGTTCTTGTCACTTTTTGTTTTGAAGATAATTAAATTAGTTTTACTAGCATTAAGTGTTAAATTAAAATCTATTAAAAACTAGTTCAGACTTTCTAATTCTGGTTTAGCAGACATTTCTGAATCGGTTAGGGATTTCCCAGTTGTGTTAAGATTAATATCGTCTACATATTTACTTACCTACCTGGGTCAATTACAGAATATAACTTATTAACTCAATTAACAGAATATAATATAACTTATTTTCTAAAATGGTATAGATGAGACAAAATCCTTTTACTAAAAAGAATGGGTACCCCTCTATCTCCAACATAATCACTTTGCACACTTCACTGTTATTGAATATAAGAAAATATTTGTACCGGTATACAGACTGTTCCAAAAGTCCCGAACCGGTTTAATATTTTGTTAAATATTTAAAATAGAGCTACAAAATGTTGCACAAAGTTACCAGACATAAAAATTGATTTTATTACATTTTCAGTGATCCTCTAATTCCACAGGGGGGACGGCCCGCTAGGAGTCAGAAGAAAAACTTAAATGCTATGTACTTTTGGTACAGTTTGTAGCTGAATTTTATATATATATATAAAATACATTTAACACATTCACTGTAAGCATACAACTTGTTTGCCAGCGGTGAGGGGAGAGCGATAACAATCTCCCACCGCAGACAAAGTTTCTGTGGCATTGGTCGGACTAAGCTTTTTAAAAAAATTCGGCCAGCACTGTTCAGGTTGTTTTCCTTTTTTGTGTCCATATTTTTAGAATTTAAATTTGAATTTTATTCAAGTACCATACAATGTAATTACTAAGGGTTCTATATTATTGTTTTGGTACTGTAGTTGAATAATTAATTTTGATATACCGGTAACTATGTTTTTACTTATTATAATGTACACCAGACGGTAAAATCGTAGTATATTCCAATTTAATTGTAAAGTTTGACTTATAAGGTGTAAACCATTAACTGAGATTATAGGTGATATCTTAAGATATAGTATTTTATGTAAAAAGACATACATATATATTTATAAACAGAAAACCATAATGCTTAGTACATATAATTATGGAAACCTTTTACTCATTTTCATATCGAAGTAAAATAAAAAAAACACCTTAAAATATCGGAGGGGTTTTTCCGAACACCCTGTAAAATGGTTAATGGCAGGCAGTTATTTATTTTATATCCCTAAGTTAATAAAAGGAAAGTCTGTCTCTTAATGAAGTAAAGTATTTTATGACAATATTTTATAACCGGAAGAGTATTGTATTCTATTGTGTTCTATGGACTGTCGGTTTATTGGACTGTGTTGTGGAGTTAAGTTGTGCGGTTGAGTAATTATTGAGTGATTGTTAAGCTGTAGGTTAAAAAAAGTGTTAGGCTAAATTAGATTAATATCATGGCAACCGCTTGTATAAAAGGGCAAACTATTCACAGTGAAGCGAGGGAAATTATAAGACCAACAGGCGCCGTGTGTTGGTGACGCATCGGCTGAGAGTAGTAGTATAGTCAACATTTTTGGGGCCACTAGTAGCAGATCGCCAAGCGCCAGGCTGTGGTGGGGGCCCCTCCTGGCCGCGGAGGGAGAACGTGCAAACAAGTCGTATGCTTACAGTATAGTTGCCTGATTAACCGAGCTTTTAGATTTGCAGACCTAGTCTGTCCGTGTGGATAGTGAGGATATACTGTATTTTTGTTAATGCTCTTCTGTAAATTTCTTCATCCAAGTGGTCTAAAGATTGTTAAACAAGAGACCTTTTTGTTAAGCCCAAGTTTAAGTTATTTTTGAAGTACAATATAATACACTATCTATATGATGTTGTTAATTTCACAATGATTTGATTTTAGGTATTGAATCTACTCGAGCTGCCAAAGCAAAGGCTGAAACAAAAAAAGAAACTAGTCAAGCTTTGCTAGGCTATAGATGCCTTCCACAGCTACCTGCATTAACATCTGGAGTAAGATCTAGTGGAACATATCGAGGAACATCATTCGCAGGGAGTAGCGGAACATCATTCGCAGGGAGTAGCGGAACATCATTCGCAGGGAGTAGCGGAACATCATTCGCAGGGAGTAGCAGAACATCATTCGCAGGGAGTAGCGGAACATCATTTGCAGGGAGTAGCAGAACATCATTCGCAGGGAGTAGCGGAACATCATTCGCAGGGAGTAGCGGAACATCATTCGCAGGGAGTAGCAGAACATCATTCGCAGGTAGTAGTGGAACATCATTTACAGGGAGTAATGGAACTTCCTTAAAATATTATAAGAAGACTTCTAAGAAATTTGTGCCACAGGAGTTTTCCACCGGTAAAGGAAATACCACACCAATCCAAATGCCAAGTGCCTCTAGAGAAAGTGCTCCAGCTCCAGACTTTGAAAGTAAAGGAGCGATCCCTAAAACTACAATCGGAAAAACAAGATTGAAAGTACAACAGGGTCCAAGTAGCATTGATCCTTCTTCTTATTCTCCAGACGATGAAGCGGTGAGATATTGCCACTGTAACCAACAATCTTACGGAGAAATGATTATGTGTGATAATAGACTTTGTCCAATGCAGTGGTTCCATTTCCTCTGTGTGGGGATAGAGAGCGCACCAAAAGGAAACTGGTTCTGCGAACTATGCCGTAAAGACGAAAGTCGTTCGCACCTTATGAAAACGCTGGATGAATTTGATGTGGCATTGAAGAAGTGGGACGATAAAAGAAAATATAAAGAATGAAGATGAATTGAATATTCCTCATAAAACGTGACTATGATTTTTCACTATGATAGAAATGACTTAATATAGTAGTGGAATCAAGAAGTGTGATCAAGAAGTAGTGATCAAGAAGTTATTTAATATAGTAGTAAAGTAGAGAACCGGGACTGGGCCTAACACCCTGTTTTGTTACATACGACATTCTGTCATACATCAGTATGTAATTTTCTTTTTACAAAAGATGAATTTAATTAAGAGTTTTTTTATTGCAACAATGTTAGTATGTAATTGGAATTACTGAGGTTGTTTTGTGTACAGTATATACTGATTGGGATTTCTCATAGTAATGCAAATGAGTTTATGTTTATATACTAGTAGAGTAACACCTCTATTCCACAGCTTTTATAACTGTAAAGGCTAAGTTAGGTTACATAAATAAGTGAAATCCATCAGTGTATAATTAGACTTCTGCAAGTCAAATTGCACAATGAATTGAAACTGACTAATAATGATTGATTTAAAATATGGTGTTACTGTAATTGTTTCTAAGGATATGCCCCTTATATGACATATGACCCTTAGGCTTTTATGAATCCCAGGTCGTAACAGCTTTTTTATCGTTTCAAAGAAAAACTGTAATGATAATTTTTCAATTTAAGAGTTTCACATTAATTCACATCAGTGTTTAATATTTGTTGTAATGTTTACAAATTATCTGTTATTAAATGCTTATGTAGACCAAAATTAGTGATTGATTTTCAACCTAAACGTAAAATGTTAAAAAAAAACTTATTTCTATTGGCCTATGCCAACAATTCCAAGGTCAATGTGAATCTTGTTCTCATTATGATGCAATCATACACATACATTTACTAAATGGTACAGCAAATTTGTCTAAACAACTTTTTAGATTGTTAATTCAATGTCTTCCTTAGAACCCAATTTGATTCAGATGACCAACACTTTTGCAAAACATATGACAGCTTGCCTGACCATACTGGACCGAATTACACGTGGGTTGTACCAAAAGAACGGTTATCTGTCTTATATTTAAAGATTTTATTTGTATTTTGAAAATATTTTTCTTACTTGGGTTAAAAATGGAAATTCAACTTTTTTATGGACATTTAACATAGTCTAGTTCCATATAGGTATTAAAAGACAAGCATGTATATTGAAAACCTTTTTCAGCTCCTTTGCACAGCAGGGAAAATCTACACATACTGTTAGAAAGTTATTTGCCTGTAGATGTGCAGAATCCCTTTATAAATTAAAATGGGCTAAAAAATAAGCAAGAAATATGAATTTAAAATTTAAAAAAATTTACATGGGTCTTAATTCAAATTCTTTATTCACTTATAAACATCTTAAAAAGTACAACGTACAAGGGTAGGAGTTTTGTCTAATAAAAACATTAAAAAATACTATAACTAATAAATTCACACGACTTACAATTATTACTATAATGTTATAATGTTAATTTTTTAATTAAATTGTTGAAATGTTACAATTAACATTCAACAGTAATGTTGTTCAAGATATTGATGTCTAGTAACAACAGTAAGTCAGATTAATTGAATGCCCTCAAACTGTTAAGTGATTAAAAGTGCTCCTGTTGCTTAAAATTTAGCAAAACCTCAAGGTAATATCTAATCCTAACCATGTATAATCATGGCAATCTTAACAATATAACCTTCCATTAAAATTTTTTAGAAACATTTTGTCGACTGTTCTGCCCAAGTAAAAAAATAAAAACAATATCTGCATTAATAAAGAGTACTGTACCAATACTACCCTAACAAAACTTCATATTTATGCACAAGAGAATTTACTATGGTTTTATATAAATGTGTCGGTGTGTGTTTTATTCTAAACCCCCATAAAAACATTGAGTTGAGTAGTGTATCCAACACAAAACATCATTCAACCTACAAATTATTAAATTCTAGATTATGGCACATTAGTTGCAAAAATATTGTGTAGTAGTATTCGCAATAGCCTTTTACAACTGTACTAGAGCTCGCCCCGTGGTCAAAAACTCAACCAAAAGCATGTATTGTGCAAACTTCTGTATTTTCACCCCACACTGTGAATCAAACATGTGATTGGAATTTCTTCGTTTTGTTTTGATTTTTTGTTTAAATTTTGTTGTTATTTTGTCACCACATGGCAACCCATAAGATGTGTGACGGCCCCAAAAATTCCCAGACCCATTACATATCAGTTGGGGAGGTTTTTGTTACACCCTCATTTTTACTGAGTTCAAGCACTGACAGTGACAATCTTGGATATTACAAGCACTTAGGTTAAGATGGCATATTATACAGATGTAATGTTTAAAGATTCCCGTAGTTAAAGATGGAATGCTACAAAACCATATCTATTTATGGTTTTTATAGTCAGTCACCATAGTAGGGATTAGGCTATGTAACTTAATGCACAATACTTCAGCGGATATGAATAAAAAAACATGTTGATATTACCAGAGCTTATTTTACTTACTCAGAGCTAAATAAAAAGCGGTAAGCCATTTAAGCTCTGCCTCACTTTTGTTGTGTAGAACCAATTATCCTGGAAAATGGTAAGATAACTCTATTTCTCCTTTAAACTTACCACTGATGATTGTTGTTTTAATCAAGTTTAGTGTCAATTTTTTAATCGTCAGTCTCGTTCCATTGCACAGGTTGGGGTGGTTAAGTTTTGCATTAGTATTATTGGAGTTCCTTCTTTTAAAGACAGTAATGTGGTGGGCTACTACTCTTTGGATTAATTCATTTTAAGGTAACGGATATAAATAATTTAAAAAAATATTTCCTTGCAAACAATTTCTTCAATACTCTTGGAATCACTGGCACCGTCCTGGAGCTACAATGGAACTCTCTGGTTCATTGGTGGTGATTAGTGAATATAACCTCAAGGTAAGTTCTGCACCTAGAGGTGTGGGCGCGTACTATATACCCATTGTTACACAAAGATACCAGTGGTGTGGTCGTAAAATGTCCAGTGTAGGAACGCTTACGATTGTCTAAGACCTGACTGACGTATAAGAATAATATATAGGACTATTGGAAAAAGCAGAGTGGGAACGCCGCTCCAACTCCACTACACAACAGAAATAAACAAATAAAAACAAACATTTTAGTAAAATAACTATTGTTGAAAGTAGTATTACCGGTGAACTTTTATCAACTCTTTTTAAAACTGGTGTGGATTTTTTTAGCAAATTTCAATGCTACATTTTTTCTAAAACACTAGACAATTCAATTAAGTCACTGTCTCTTTTACTGGTATGCTAAAGTAATAAATGAAAATAGATTTTAATTCAACCAAAATTAAAAGCTGCTGTTTGGGTTTAATAAATACAGGGCTCAATTTGTAAAAATGAAGTGCCGGAACTGTAACCTATTTAATGTGATATCTTTATGTAATATCTTTCTGAAAGAGAGATACCAGAACAACGTTCCGCCAAAAATTGAGCAATGAGTAAATATATTTGTGAGTCAATTCATTCTATGGCCTGCTCACCTTAGATAAGCCACCTGACCAGGGGAGTAGATTTGGAGAGGATACCAGTCCAGAGCTGCGCACCCGGAAATTCTGGTTGACACCAAGAAGACGCCCTCCAGACTCACCGCACTGCACACCTCTATATTTTTCCAAGAAATCTTATACCTCCTGTTACTTTGGGTGACGTAGCTCAGGAATGAAACTCAGCACTCGCTTACAAAACCCAACTTTATTAATTACTCAAAACAACACAAAGAACACAAAGCTAAACTAACAATCAAAAAAGGTAGAGTAGACTGGAACTGTATAAATAATTTAGTTAGAAACTGAAACCCCAATTTGGAAAAGGCCCTAAACCCCAATTTTGAAAACTCTTAACATTTTCTTCCCTGGACCCAAGGCCAAGAGCCTTGGGCTCCAGCTCCCCAGCAGGACCCTGTCCTCCGGTGCACCACACAAACACTACCCACCAAAACTGACCCCTGGATCAAGTGCACTGGCCTACTTAAAGCAACAGCCTTCAGTAGGTCAGCACAACAAGTTATTGTATAACACGTACAATGCTGATCAAGAAGTTATTTAATAATTTAGTATATTGAAGTGGTTTTGTACGGTAATTGGTTACGAAGAAAATTGAAAAATTGTAAAATTAAAATTCCAGTAGTGCGCTTGTTTATGGATCCATAACAGCACCAGATATCCATTGAATATTCAAAGTGGTTGGAATATGTCTAAAGATATCTACATGTAATTAGATATATATTTTTAAAATATCTTATCTAAGATGAATACAGTACAAACTGGCTGAAGGATAGTGACAAAAATAATTGTGTCGTTTATAATTACGCGTTTTGACTCGTTATTACAAAAAGGAATGGTACAAGTACAATGGATACAAGTTGGTACAAGTAAGTAATCAAAAATTTTGAATGAAATATAGTGAGATAAAAGAATTTCATCTCTTGTAGGGATTGAAGTCACAACCTATGGTTTAGAAGTCCAACGCGCTATGCTGTGTGCCACAGGGACTGTCTGAAGCGGAAAATGTTTACAATAATAAGATAATAATATCTAGCAATATTTTTTTACTTTTACATAATTATGTAAACCTTAACCACCTGAAATTTCATTATCAAACGCAGTTGGATCTGAATGGAGCAGTGTACCAAGTATACAATTAGTGCATTTTGATATTAAAAGTTGATTTACTGTTTGCTTAATGTCTGACAGTAAGACAATGAGTTGAGTTTAGCACATGTTGTAAAACTAAAACTTCCCTAGATATAGATAATATGTGATTAAGTTATTTGTGCAACTAGTGACATTATTGTACAAGTAAAATGTTAGTTTTATCTAATAAAAAAAACATTTGCACACAAATTTAACCATTATTTTATTTTGTCTCCAGTTGTTATCATGTGACAGTTAAAAACTTCATTAGTACCCAACAGTATGTAATACAACTGTGAAGAAACTATTTATTAAATCAAAATCAACATTTTAGGAACAGTATT